ACAATTATTCGAATAATATCCATTAATCTGCTATTTTTGTCATTTCATTGATGCATCAGCTAAAAAAAAAAAAAAGGCCGAATTTTTCACCCCTTCATTCCAAAACTTGACTCTATTTCTACTATTAGTGACAGTGCAGAAAACGCACAAATATAAATATAATTTCTGGTTTAATCAAAACAAAAAAGAAGGTCCCTTTATGATTGATTATCGAAAAAAAACATTTATTTGATAAACTATTAGTTGTCGATTGATTAATCGTTGCATCTCTGGTAAGGTATGAAACTTTTTGGACTGTCAAACTACTGAAGACTAAAATAAAAGAGAAAAAAAAAGAATAAGGTTTCTTGATCATCGAATAAACTCCAGGTCAAATCTTATGTGGATGAATTCATCTTTTTCAAGTGGCCACGCTGCACGTATTTCTGGTCACTGGACAAACAATCCTGAACATGGAACAACTCACACGGAATTTACAGCAACGCCCACCTAATATGACTACAAATCATAACACTACATTCTCCCTGCTCTGACTGATTGATAAACTCTCTCTTTATGGGTTTGGTGAACATGTCTAAACGAACAAACTGTGCAGATCACAGGTTGATCCGATTGCATGTCGTCACTCGCACAGTTCAGTTGGACAGTGACGATACAGTCATCAAGCGTTACATTGTGCGACGTTATCATTTAAAGGCAATGCTACAAACGATGCTATTTGGTTTCTTTTTTAAGCTTATATGTAAATCGTGAATGGTGCCATCCAAACTCCCGCCGAGGGAGTCACACTGGCGAGCGCCAGCCCTGCTTGTATTTGACTGCATTTGCTTTCTTTTATCCCAATGTCAACGATACAGTTGCACCATTCAAACCACTTTGGTAGTTTACTCATGGTGGAATGTGACCTCGCTGGACGATGTGTGTGTGTTGTTACCTAGTCTGCTAGAATTCTTGAGATGGATGGTCAAATACCACAATTTGGGAAAAACACAGTTGATCACATTTGACTTAAATTCGAAAGGAATAGTTTGAAATTTGTCATGGCCCGTTGCTCTTTAAATTAGTGATCTACAGCGGAATGCCTTTCAGCGAGGTGTGGTGTCTATCAATTCGCTGCCAACCAGAGGAGCCTTGCAGACAACTTTGCCGTGCCTTTCGGCATTGCCCTGGTTGTCGGCCAAGTAGGCAAAACATTCCGTATGACACTTTGTCTCTCATCTAGCTTCTTTGAGTAGTGGAGAGTCCGCATTGCTCAAGAGTAGCAGTTAGCAGTCACTATCTGACTCCTACAGCACACACTTAAAGGCATTTCCTTCAAGTGCACCGATGGGGGGATACAAGGAGCACACAGGCGAGAACGTCGGCTGACCAGCATCTTAGAGTACTTTACCTCTTTAAATGTACATAGATGTCAGGTATTTTTATTTTATTTTTTTCCAGTGTAAGCATAAAAATAAACCTGGACCAAACCATTTTTGAAACACTATCGCAGTTCAACACTGGTACTGGTGCCAGTACCTGGTGCAACACTACGTTAATTGTCGTAGTAGTAGGCCTGGGCTGACTCCGCGGCTGCAACGAATGACTATTTTGCTAGCCGACGGACTAGTCACCGGAAGTAGTCGTGATTAGTCGACTAATCGGATCCTGTCGTGACCTTCTTAAAATAATTGCCCAAGTCATTTTTTTTTCTTTCAGAAAACAAAAAAAGAACCCCATTCTGATAATCTTCTATCCATCCATCCATTTTCTAATCCCTTTATGCTCACGAGGGTCGCGGATCCTATCCCAACCATCCTCGGGGACCCTGAACTGGTTGCTAGTCAATCGCAGAGCACACATAGGCGCACAACCATCCGCGTTCAAACTCACACCTAGGGGCAATTTCGAGTGTTCTTTTAATAATAGTACCTGGCGAAAAGATACAGTGAGAACATGCAAACCTTAGTCAAAATTTGACTTGGGTAATTATTTTAAGAGGCTGAGAAGTAGGTAAATCGCAGCATATCTCACCAGCGAGCAGCTGTCATGAGCTTACAGCTTTAATTTGTTAAAATGAGGTATGCAACAGAAGACCAAGAGTGGAGACAAATCTGTGAAAGCGGACAGAAATGAACGAACTGTACAAGATGGGAAGAATTTGGGGGGAACGTTAACATTGGATTTTTTTTAAAACACCATCCATTATTTCAAAATTTGACAAGACGGAATCGGATCGATGCCGCAGACAATGTGGACAAACTGGGGATCATATGCGCATTTTTGGGGGACTGTCCAATACTTAAAATATTTTGGGAAGGAATTTGGGGTGAGCTTTGCTCTCTGCTAAATACCCAAATTGAATGGAACCTGATGTTTTTACTCCAATGACCAGAGAGAAGTACGTCAAAGATAAAAATCAAGATGTATCTTTGAAAAATTCTTTTGTTGGTAGCCAAGAAAATGATTACTAAATGCTGCTTTGAGCCATTACCCCCAACCATTGTTCAATGGAGAGAAAGGACAACGAAGGTGTACGATATGGAGAAAATAACTGCTGGGTCAAATTTAAGCACAGACATATTCAAAAAGAGATCGAATCTGCAAATAACACACCTGAACCTTTGGGGGTGCGGGGAGGGCGGGGGTTGTCTTTATTGTTGTCAGATTTGCATTTGTTTCTAAAACAGACAGTTACAGCTTTTATAGAGTGAGAGAAATGGTTGAGACGTTACAGATCTGAAGGTCTCTGTTGTTAACCCCCCACCCCCCAAAAAAAATGGTATGTATCTGAAACGAAATTTGAAAAAAATTCTGAAAGATCAAGAGGAACACCATTTTTAGCAATGTAATGTATCGTAATGTATTGGGTTATGTGTTGTCATTTAGGGGTTGTGGCAAGCATGTCAAATTGCGCAACATTTGAGTTCTCCTGTTTCCGAGTTCTTGAATGCATCACTCTGTTTGGGAGCGAATGTGGGAGCGAGAGATAGCGAGTGAGTGTCTGTGCTCTTCGTGTTTCTGCGTCACGACGGCCATACAGTAGCTGTGGTTTGGTTGTTAAACGGCACTTCACTGACTAATGCCTCCGTAATCCACAGTGGATGCTAAAATATGTTCGCATAAGCAAACCTGACATCGCTGTTACAACATTACATCAAACACACAGCTTCCAGACACAACCGTCCCCATGTCAGAAATGGAATCAGGCATCCGCTACAACATGCGTTCCTTTAATTCTCAACCTTTTCTCTCAGCCATGACAGGCAGGTCTGCATCGCATCAAATGTTACGGCTGAAATGGGCCCCAACTTTCTCACTCTGTTACTAACGCAGGTTAGCCACAGTGAACTTCCCAGTGCTGAGGTCAGTCATAACTCACTATTTGAAGAATTAATCAGTCCGTTATTCTTTTTTTTTTTAAGATTAATCGTTGAATCTAGAAAAAAATGCAACATTTATCTACAATAAAATGATCTCAAATTGGCAGTGCAGAAAAGCGCACGAAAAAAAAAATAAGAGCTCTTGCAGTAATAAAAGATCATAAGAAAAAAGTAAAAAGTGAATTCATATGACATTAGGCTATGAAAAGACCCACTATGCAATTTCGGCGAAAAATTGTTTTTGTCATCCTCCGTCTTTTGTCTCCCCAGTCTCAACTTCCACGTGAAGAATTTCATTCTTGCGCTTGTAACCTCACCTGCATCCCAAGTGACAAAACAATCACATTCTCACACTTAGCTTTTTATGAAGTCAATGTTAATGTTACATACAAGACATTAGACTGATGAAAACGACATACAGAAAAATAAAAACACAACTTCAGGACTTGTCTCTTATCTCATCATGATTGTCTCTCGTATTTTTTTTGGGGTGGGTTCAGTTCAAGGAGTCGAGTTCAGTTGGCTCCCCATTTACCAAACAAGACATTTTGTCCAAAAGATACAAAAAAGACATCATACTGAATAAATGTCAGCATCATATTTTACCGTACTCATCTGCTTTATTTACAAAGTGACGAGTACATTTCCCTTTATGTTCACGGAGTGTTATGTTCACGGAGTGGCACGGCCAATTTTGGGGGGGAAAAATCCTTATTAAGTTAATTAGGTGCAATATTTTG